GCCTGAGGAGTATTTGCATGATTATTGTGCAGAAGTGTAAACTGGCTAAAACTGCTGAGAGACAAGTCCGGCAGCTCCTGCAAGAAACATGAGCCCGAAAATGTGATATTTTTTTCTGTTTTTCTTTTTCTCTGGTCTGAAATATTCATGGAAATTGCTGGAAATGTCAGGAATTTATGAGTTCTGTGTGCAGCTGGTAAATAACAATATGATATCTGTGGTCAAAATCCAGCCAAAGGGGAACACAAATGTACTTTCTGTGCCATTTTGTACGTGAAAAAATGGGTTTGTTTGTTTTTTATTTTCTTTTTTATAAAGAAGGATATTCTGTATAGATGTGACACTGGCTATTTTAATTAGTTATTGCCTTGTAGTTGTACTATTTAATGTAAAATTGGTGCACTATATTTAACTTTTACGGTGAAGGGTCTGCCATGCACTTGTCTCCAGGGAGATTTTATTGCTTTGCCTGGAATGTTCCACAATATAGCATAAGCACAGTATTAAGCATCCATGGAGCCTGACAAGTAAAGTGACTCCAACAAGTTAAAGTCAGATCACGGGAGAGGCACCAATGCTCACAAACAGAATGCTTGTTTTTGAAGAATTTTTGGGAGTAGTAAAAATACATGCAGTTGAATAAACAGTAGATTGATGCGCAACTCTGAAACCTTTGCAGCTATAGGTGGGGTACAACTCTGAGACCATAAGGGATATCCACAAAACAGCCAGAAAACCATACTAGCTTATTAGATCTATCTCATAAACTTTCATTTGACTCATCTGATAAAGACATTACCTCTAGTGGTATTGGATATCGGCGCAGATATTGAAAATTTCAAGGATATCTAAGGCTTTGCTCAGACTATAGCCTGAAGTGACCCAAATCTGATTTTTTCACCCCTATGTGACCAATATCTTTTAATGACAGTCTGAACGACACAGATACGATTTTTTCAAATGCGAGCCAGGACACTTGGATATGTGCTCCTAAAACCGATACATATCCGATCTTTTGACTTGCGACTTCAATCTGAACGGCCAGGTCGCATTCATCCGCTCACAAATGTACATAAACTTTCTTCTCGTCATACAAAACTTGTGTATGAACTCCGTGTCAGTGAAGCAGAGAAGCGCATAGCAATCCCACCACTGTTTGCTCCTTTCTACAGATGTTGCTGCCACTGCCCCACAAAACACCACGGCCAAAAACCTTGTCCTGCTCCTTCTCAATCTCCTCCTTAAAACAAATAAGCTGTACATGTTCTGGATCCGGTACGACAGCAGCTTTAAAATCACCAGGTGTTCAATGCTCGCGTCCATGTTTAGGTGACTTCCATAAACTCTGAGCACACTCGCTGCATGTGACATCGTCGTGTCCTCCAGTGCGCTTGCAGGACACTTGTGGTGCATTTAAAGTTCACACTGAGATCACATACAAGTCACATTTAATTGGAAATGCGAACGACCTTGCAAAAAAAATCTGATTTCACAAAAAAATTAAGCATTAAGCCCTGCAGTCTGAGTGTAGCCTAGGATTCCAAGATATCGGTTCACTCAATATCTCATTTTGGTCTATAAATTGGTGTAATGAGACATGTTACTGGTCCGTGCTGGCTCAAAACACATCATATGATTGAACTTATGTTTTTTTAAAAGCTGTTCTGTAGCTGTAGAGCTTTTAAATGGTAAATAACAAACAAAACACAACTTCAGTCATGTTTGTAATGATGAAATATAACATTCTAGCGTGGATTAAAGCTCACAAAAGTCAATTTAGAGTAATATAGCACCTTCAAATCTCTTGTCATAATATTATCTCTTTTATCTATTTTATAAACCTGTTCTGTAGCTGTAGAATTTTAAAATGGCAAATTACTGTTACAGAACAGATTTAACCACATGCAATTTGTGTTTAAAGAAAATATATCATATTTTCAGTCTGTCCTAGCATCGGTTGATAACAGGTATTGGCAGATACTTAAAGCCAAAGTATCAACATCGGTATCAGAACAGAAAAAGCTGCATCCCTAATCAAAACTATGATACCCTTTGTATACTCATCATCTGGTACTGCAACTTTTGTAATCCCCATGTTTTAAAAGTCTATATATCCCTTTAATGGACTAATCCTCATTTCAGTTTGCAAATTACTTTACACAACTTTCGCACTGGCCTCCATTGTGAAAATTGCTCCACTCAACCGTGCACCAACAGCTTTTGCATCCTCCTCTCCTCCTCCTTCTGTTTTTTTTTTTTTTTCCTCTAGAATATCATTAGAGAGCGAATGTAATTCGTTTTACACATTATTTTAATTTCATCTACATGCACTACCGAAGCTGCAGTGGTTTTAAAAATGGATGAATAATGCATAATACGGGACCTTAAGTAACCTCCCCTTTCCGTTATTGGATGGTTAGCTCACAGAAATGAAAGCTGTTCTGAAATGCTAACATCCCACCCCTTTAATACCCAGGACGCCTTTACATGTACACATAGCAATTAACACTTTATACAATATACATTAAGACTTTCATATTTCATTTATCTGAGTTCCCTTATACATCTCTTCTGGTTCGGGATGAAGTTACAGCATTATAATTACAACTGATGCGAAATGAACTGTTGAGCAATTAGCCATTAAAAGCAAATCACTTATAATTCCTGTAATTGGTCTCCTCTCCGGCTCCGCTCCTGTCTCTCGGACTGCAGTGGCTTTCCCATCCACCGCATGCCTTTGCCGAAAGATTATCCCTGGCGGTTTCTTCAGTTTTTAATCTACAATCTGAGTATTGATTTCTCCGGATGTGCCCAGTTTGCTTTGACAACTGGTCCTTTGTTCCCAGACTGAGAGCAACCGGGGGAATGGTAAAGATGTTGGGGAAATGTGAGCTTGTTTGTGGTTTCATTGAGGCAAATCAGGAAGTGTTTTTTGTGTGTTAGTCAGAGAAAAGCTACCTCAAAATAACTCCTAAAAATCCTAAAAATGATTCAAGTAAGAGTAGAAAAGTGTTTGTGAAAAGTACTACCCAATAACTTACTAAAGTGCAACTTAAATGTTCATTATGTAACTTTTCTGGTTCAAGTCCAGCACCTGGTTGTGTCCATGGAGATATATAAGGGAGATTGCCTTCCCTGGAATGTACGACAGTAGGGCATTACATTTGTTTTTACACTAAAACAATACCCTGAAAAAATATGCATTCTACTGTAAGAAATAGATACGTTTAATGTCATATTGTGAAAATTTCCAGGCAAAGCGGCACCAGTTTCCACCAGGAAAGTTACGCAGTGCACCTTTAAAGAGTAAGCCAGGCTGGCACCACCTAGTGCCTCCACTTAATTTCATTTCTCTACAGCGACTAGGTCAGGAATCAAAATACATTAGACGGTTCGCAAAAACCCCTGAAGTGCAAGTTCCATAGACAGAGCCATACATTCTGTGTTGTCAACAATTCCCAAGATCGAGGATTTAAAGCAGGAGTAAAGAGAATGTTTGGTGAATTTCATAAAAGGAGAAAGACATTATTGCCTTTCTTCCTATGGGTTTGGGGAAAAGCTTAATATACCAGTTAGCCCCGTTAGTGGCGCATTACACATGTGACTACCAAATAGCAGCGATTGGTTAAAAAAAAATTGCCCGGCTACCGTTGGGCAAACGAATTCTAACACTGGGAGGTCAGATGGTTTCTACGAAGTGAAACCGGCTGATGAATCAGGCCATTAAAGAGTAACTGTGGGACATAACATCTGATTTATAATTTGAAGTTAATGTAATTTGAAGGAACAAGCATGAAATAAAGCACAACATCTGGTGTTTTCAAAGGATACACACAAAAATTTGGGGGGAAAAAAATCATATAAAGTAACATATTTGGGGGTCAAGACACATTCATGTTTTTTTGTTTTTTTTCATATTGTCTACATGAAGACTTACATAAAGAGTACTGTTACTTCAATTCAAATATCACTCAAGTAGGAGTAAAAAGATGCCTCTAGCAAAGTACTCTGGAAAGTTTTTTTTTTTTGTTTTTTTTAAAGCTACTCAAGTAAATGTAACTGAGTAAAGGTAACTGTTTTGTGTATATATGTTACTAGGATTGGAGATGGCTTTTGGTCACAGTGCATATAAACCAGTACAGAAATATTGTATAAGCAGCCCTTGAGGTCAAAATAAATCCATTGTGTGCTTTTTATTGTCCGATAATCATTAAGTGCTCCGATGGCTTTACTGTGACAGCAAAACTCTGATTTGGCCTCTCATCACAAACTCAGCATTGTAACACACGCACACACACACACACACACACATTCATATCCCTGGTCTAACGTTGTGCCTTTCCTGTTATAAGGTGGGAACAGATGGAGGGGCATATTAAAAATCATTGTACAATATTACCACTTTACGGTATGGCAAATGAGCTTAGATCTATTTAAAGGTGCACTATGCAATTTTTCTCATGGAGGGTCTGCCATCTGCTCTGTTATTGCAATTACCTGAAATGTTACACAGTGTGGTTTTATACTTATTTACCCCCATGGAGACAAGCTAGAGATGCCACCAGGCTGAATCATGTTTAATTGAATAAATGCAAAATAGATGTTTAATGCCATACTGCAGAATATTCCAAGGAATGCAAAATCATCTCCGTGGAGACAAGCAGATGGCCCATCCTCCAACAGAAATGTTACATGGTGCACCTTTATGTCAGTGTGTGTGTTTTACCTTCCTGTTTGAATGGGCTGCATTTTGAGGGTGTTTCAACATTCAAAATATATAATTTTGACTTCTGAAAGCAATACAAAAGCAACATTCGGAGGGTGTTTCACCAATCAAAAGATGTAATGTGTTATTTTATATTGTTAATTGCCATGGCAACGGTCCTCATTTTTCATCACTCTGAAACCTATAGATATACATATACTACCCAGAAACGTATTTAAACTGAAATGCTGTGAGGTTTTTCTAAGTGTAATTTCTCTTCTTTTACATTCCACAGAACCAAGCTGAAGCCCATTACAAAGGCCACAAACATGCAAGGAAGCTCAAAGCCATGGAGGCGCAGAAGAACCGCCAGAAGAGGGCAGCAGAGGGTCTGTCCACGGGCCGGGACAGAGAGCGAGACCGGGACAGAGGGAAGACCATCGCTGCTGAAGCCACACTACAAATGCACATGGACGCAAGCCTAGAGACCACAAGTGAGTACAACAATCACATGACATCTAAAGTGTGTTTGGTCTTGTTTTGGTCCTGGTTTGAACCCAGTTTAGTCCTAATGTAGTCCTGATTTTGTCCAGATTTAGTTCCATGTTAAGTCCCAGTTTAGTCCCAAGTTTGTAGAGTAAGGTGTTCATCCTTGAGAGACTAAAAGGTGTGCTATATGTACTTTTCTGATGGGGGAGGAGATGTCATCCATGGAGATATCATTGATTTGCCTGGAATGTTCCGCGGCTTGACCCTAAACCTTCCCATTGCATGTTTTTCAAAGTATTTTAGCAATAAAGCACCTGGTGTTGCTTCTCCCCAGACCTGACCTGTAACCTGGCCTGGTGCCGTCACCTCCTTGTCTCATTTTATGCATTATTCATCGTTTAAAACCACCACAGCTTTGGTAGTGCATGTAGATGAAACTAGCATAATGTATAGAACGAATTACATTTTCTTTCTAATGATATTCTAGAAAAAAAAAGAAAAAAGTGGAACAGTTTTCAGAATGGCTGCCAGGGGAGTCCACAAGGGGGGGCAAAGGGGTCAATTGTCCCTGGCCCAAGGGTTTTAGGGAAGAATTGGAACCTGTGCCTATTAATTTAAATCAGAAGGGGGCCCATATAAGCTTTCATGCCCCAGGCCCCCAATTTTCTGCTAGTGCTGAAGTTAAGATGTATAAAGTAATTTGCAAACTGAAATAAGGATTAGTCCATTAAAGTATAGACTACAATTTAGATAGATTAGATAGATACATTTAATGCTATTTAGGAAAACACTAACATCTCCATTAAAGGTTGTATAGAGGATTTTTTAAGGGAAGAGAAATACAGTGACAGTCCTTGTGCATGCGTGACACAACCTTCCTCCCATCTCCTTACTCTAGAAATCATGTTTGTTTATAGCCAGTGTGCGTTCAGAATTACTGTTGACATGACCTGTCTAGAAATAATTTAGCGACGACGCATCAGGTTTTAGACCCTTTGTCTGCTTCAGTCGCGCAATCGCTGGAAGAAATCTCCAAAAATCACCTCAGTTTGGTTTTGCTCCTTTCCCCCTTCTCTTCTTCTTTCAGCGACCTCAAAAACTGACTTTCTTTTGCAGCGAACTGGTCGTGGATTCTCATCCGCAATCGCAAAAAAGTTTGTACAAACTGCGTGAAAGCTACAGTTTGAAAAAGCCTCTAAGAACCGCTGCATTAACCACGTAATCCCTGTGCGAGTCAGTTACACTTAAAACGCAGGGAGTTTGATTGACAACCTAACAGCCAATAGATAATGAGGCAGCCTCGTTATCTATTGGCTGATGTTTATGTGGTCTCACTACGTCCACAGTTGATAGATTTTCATTCTTTTTTTTTTTTTTGGTCATCATAATAACAAAACTGCTGTGTCTCTGTAATGGTATTTTAAACTTTCATTGACAATTTGAAGATGAAAAAAAAAATCCTCCATACAACCTTTAAGTCAAACAGGTGGCGGACCTTCAACTAGAAATGTTCCCTCATGCACCTTTAATAACCAAAGCCCTTTCCACCCCTCTCTGCTTTATATGTATCCCCGATCACCGTGCATACCCCGCTGTTTTCCGTGCCCTCTCATGTTGCTTTGTCAGATAACATCTCCACTATCTGTCACCATCGCTCCTTCTGTTTACGCTCAACATTTTTGCTGTTTCATCTTCAAAAATGTCCTTCAATTTAACCTTAACACCTATCTCCAAATCTCCTATCAGATGCTAAGGGTCTGAGGAAAAAAGACTGACGTTTTATTGTTGCGTGGAAAGTTTTTGCTATGAACAACACTGAATGGAAGATACTTGTTTCCTCCACCTGATGTTACCTAATGCTTACACAACATGGTGAAGTTGAGCGCACTTTAGTCAGTTTCTTGTTTGCAAAATGTGGTAGTATCCCAATCTCCAAAGAAAATTTCCAAAGAGACAACACCATTATAATCTGAAAGGAATCGAAATCTTTAAAAATCCCAGGTTTAGAACAACAACAATGGAAAAAATGTGTTTCAATGCAGGGATTAACCTATTCAAAATCTAATCGAGTGTTTAAAAGAAATGTCAAACATGATATGCTAAAAAAAAAAGTATGAAATATGAGCGGTCCTTTTGTGTTAATTAACAAGTATTTAATATTGTGTATGTCACGTAAATAAGTTGCTTATAAATATAGTTCTAACCGATGAAGTGCTGGAAATGTTTTACTTATGTGTGGAAAGAGGGCAGATATTACAAGTCTATACTTCTTTCTGCTCCTTTTCATTCATACTGATGTGTGAACATAATTATTTTTTATTCATCTTTCATGAATGAAACAAATAAAAAAAGAAAAATGATACACGTAAAAATAAAGATAAGTAGTTGGGCAACCTTGCCTAACTCACCGCTTTTTGAAATCTTTGTTACTGTCAAATACAGCTGTGCAATTAATCACATTTTTATCAAGATCAAAATTCTTGCATTTATAATTAATAATTCATAATTATCTTTGGACTTTTAAGCGAGGTCTACTGCCAAGCTTGTGTCAATAAATGCATGTGGTTTGGAGCAGAGTTCCCTCTTTGGAGAAAGAATTTAGCTAACTTTGGTTTAAAATACAATAACAGTACTGTTTATATAACTACCTTTTTATTTGTTAGTTTGTTAGTTATAACAAAATATTAAATTGTATAACAACTCACCATAGACTGTCCCACACCATAGACTATATATATAAATGGCCACGTTCCAAATAGGATGTGTTCATGGGGGCACTTCTGGCTCCATCGACTCTGGCAATTAACACTACACTGAAAAGTTGTCGCCCCTCTCTCTGTAACTGCTGCGCTGACCCTCGTCATTTTGGTCTTAACATGTTTGTTTTAATCCGCTCTACATGATCCTGGTGTTTTTATTTCTCTATTTTTTTCATAAATAGATTCCTATTCCTAATATGGATCTTGGCTCCAAATTCGCTCCTATAGCTGCCGGCCTTGGTGAGCTTCATTTGACTGGAGCTGAACACTATGAGCCATGCTCCACATCCACTTCTTTACAGTCTATGTCCCACAAACTCAAACAACAATTATTTAATCACTAAAGGACATATACATTGCAGTGGTTAGTCAGACAAAGTGTGAAGTGTTATTATGGCGATTTCAGAAACTTTTAACTCCTGCGTTTTAAACTCCAAAATCAACAAATTCTTCTGAAAAGACAGCTGAAATGATGGCTCTGTGAAGCGTGTTAATATAAGACATAAGACACATGCTTTGACTCTGTCTGTCTGTGTAGAAAAGGGCATTCCTGAGTGTTGGCTGTTCATGACATTTAAGTATACGTCCATTTCTTCCTCCGCTCTCTCCCTCTTTCACCTCCCCTTCTCTCTCTATCTCAATCTCTCCTCTTCCTCTTTTCAGGCAGGTTGCTATTTCAAGCGATGAGTGCACAACTTTTACTCAAGTAAGAGTACTGTTACCTCAATAAAAATTAGGTGCTTGAGTAAAAAGCAAAACTTAATGTTGACAATATAAAATTATATAAACATTTGTGTTTCTTGCTTGCACCTGCAGGGATTTTATAGCTTAAAAATACCTTGAAAAACAGGCATTCTGACTGTGAGTGGGGTCACCTCTCCACAGATCCGACCTGTAACTTGGTCTAGATTGGCCTCCATGATGATAGAAAGTTTTAATACCATACTGTGAAACATTCCAGATAAAGTAATAACATCTCCATGGAGAAAAACATTTGATGGACCCCCCCACCAGAAAAGTTACACAGTGCAGCTTTAAGTTACTTTTATTTGAGTAGTACTTTCCCCAAATACTTTTTTACTCTTACTTGCCAAATTTCTTACTTGAGTAGGCTACTCTACTCACCTCTGGTCAATACTAGTTTCAGTATAAATGAGATGGGGGTATTATAATATATTTGACAAACCAAGAATACCAAAATTCACTTTTAGCTTATCAGATTGGATAATTTTAAACATTTTATGCGTCAGAATGTGTCATGTACTTCTTCAGTGCCTATAGACTTTCTCTCCACTTTGAGTCTCCTTCAGAAAGAGGACAGTGGACAAAAGACTGCTGATAACGCTCTCATCATTTAATATGCCTCAAAAGGGCCTCTGTGCACGGAGAAGAACTATAAGAATGAACAGTGAGATAAAATGAATGAATTGAAATAGAAATTGCTGGTTTTTAATACACTTCATAATGTCTAATAATTCCCCAATGTGATTTCTGTGAGGAGGAACACTATTTAATAAGCACGGCAATTGTGTGATTGGCCTAATGTGAAATTAAAATTCACCAGTGCGAACCAATGCAATACAAAGGCATCCTGAAATGTAATAGCTCCAAATGAAGACTCCGAAATTACTTGTCTGTGGAGAAAGTGTGGAGACGAGAATAAGGAGGAGTGGACATATTGTGGTCCGTCAGGTGCCTATAACTCACCTGTCTGTCAAGTTCTGTTTAAAGGTGCATTGTGTAACTTTTTCAGTGGAGGGTCCTTCAAATGCTTTTCTTCATGGAGATGTTATTGCTTTGCCAGAAATGTTTTGCAGCATGGCTTTAAACCTTTTTATCGTCATGGAGACCAAACCAGACCGGTCAGATCTCTGGAGAGGCTACCCCGCTCACAGTCAGAACGCTTGTTTTTTTCAAGGTATTCTAGGTGTTTTTGAGCAATAAAGCCAAACGTAAGGTAGAGCTGTTTAATGTCATATTGTGGAACATTCAAAGCAGATCAGTGGCATATTCATAGAAACAAGAAGGTAATGGACACCCACCCAAACAGTTACATAATGCACCAATGAGGTTCATTTGGTCTTCCGATAATTTATGTTATTAGGTTCTTTTTTCAGACCAAGAGTTTGTTTTCATAGCTGACAGTCTCGACTGCTCATTAGCGGTTTTTCTCAGTGTGGTCATGTAATGTTGCTGTGGCGTGTCCGGTCAGCTGATTTATACAGGTTTTGGCACTGTCTTCCTAC